TTTTGAAAGTATCTCAAGTATTTCAGTTATATGCTGAAAGATATGATCCTTCACAGATTCAGAGATGCTGCAGATTCCTGGACACACAGTGAAAACTGAAGTGCTAGCAGTGATCCTACATCAGTCACACTAAAGACCAAAGTAGACCAGCTGCTCCTGTAAACTACAGTAGTTAATTATAAACTTCAAAAGGCTATGTGCCATCTGGAGGTGCCCTGAGTTTAGCATATTCTGGCCATGACCCCACAAACTGAGAACAGTGGTTTGTATTAGTTTTGCATTTTATGAGATCTCTTTTCTGCTAAACAGAAGGGCCTGAAGAAGAAAAGGTTTAACTGACGTACAAGGACCTGCCAGAAATTCCCCTTACACGCAGAGATTCCTTTCAAGCTTCTAGTTTGATATCAGAAAAAAAAACTCCAGCTCCAAAAAAACCAAGGAATTTACCAAAGAAAAACTTCCGTCCAATAACCAAGAGACTGTACTTATTGTACTCAGACAGAGATCTCATCATGCTCAATGACATTTCTTTTTGAGGAAAGATGGGATATGGATTTGATCTTTTATGATTAACTCTCATTTTTCTTCTTCTGCTCATTCAGTTGAGGTGACAGATTTCAAACTGAATAGATAATGCAGCTAGGCATAAAGACAAAGTCTGTCACCCACTTCTCACCTCATGGCCAAGAGGAATATTTTACATATCAGTAATTTGCAGGATGCAGAATGGTGAATAGATGCCATATTAGGTCTAGCCAACTAAAATCCAACTTCTGTAGAATGTAATACTGAATGTAAATCGATGAATATATTTCAATAAATGTAATTCAATGAATGAATATTTGAATGTAATAGAAATTCTGTGTTTTGACTAGTATGGGTTCTGAAAGAGGAAGAAAATCCAATTTTGATGGTGTATGTAGTAACATATGGACACTTTCGTGAGACTGTATTTGTTTCAAAATTCTCAAGTGTATTTCATCATGTTCTCATGATGTTTCTTCCTTCTACCTTCTGTGGTATTTCCCTGGATCACTCTGAACAGATGTAATATGTTTTCCCTAGGAATATAGGTCAGCTTGTGAGGAAAGCTGGAATAATTACAGCAGCTTTTGGCTTGTTCAGCATGACTGTATAGGTTTTGTCTATTTGATAGCAACATAAAAGAGTCTGTCTTGGTACTTTTTGCTGCTCTTCTAATTGTTGCTGCTGTAAATAAGAATGATATTTGCAGAGTATTGTTTTTTATGTTACATTTATGTACTCAGAGATTTTGCTTAAAGGTCTTCATTAGAGGTCTTCAACTCTTCTGCTGAAGTTACCATGAGATCTGTCTAATGCTTCAATGTTTTCTCTGTATCTGGATAACATCTTTTTCTCCATTGTTTCCATGAACTGTTTCAGAAGAGTCCCATTCATACATATGCCAGAATGACAAAAGACCGGAGAGATCAGAAAAACAGATAGCCATGGGAATGCCACAGGAAAAAGTCTCATGCTGTAGAAGCCAGGTTTTATGTACCATGGAGCATATTCCTACATGAAGGGTCCTGTATCACATTCTTGTTTGCTGCTTGTGTATATTCATCTGCAAGCATTTGCTTGTGAATTGTAGTGATTTCTTCCATCAGTGCTGAAAGAACAGGACCAAAACTTTGATAACAGTCGTCTTCAAGTGCTGTGCTGTCGTACTAATCCCTGAGCACTTTATTCACTCTAAATCCAGGATAGTGTTTGTCTCCTCTAAATGTAAGAAGCAGCCTGAGAACCGCTGGTTTCCACTAATTAAAAAATTATCTCTGGCTATTTTACTGTCTGAGGACAATGAACCTTATCACTATACTTACCAGAAATCCATTAGTTTTTCCAATAAATTGGATAGGACTACACTGGTAAAGATTTTTATTTTATCTTCCTTCTTACAAAGGAAGTAAATCAATATGGATTCATTGAAAAGTTTGCGCTTTTGGAATGGAAAATATTCAACAGTTGTAGCTGGGTTGTGACAATATGTGAAGATTACACCACACAATACAATAATCAATGCCAAAGACATGTCAGTGCACTGGTGAGTCTGAAGGGTAACTGTGGTTCTCCAATTATTTCACTCATGAAATAGGAGAATTGGCTTATAATGGATGTAATTAATGCCAGTCATTTATGTAAAGCAAATAGTATTGCTTTATGCCAAATTTATTGCCAAATCTGACACATGGTGAAATGGTATTGTTATCACGCAATTTCTTACCTTTTCATTTTACTTTAGCCTCAATTGTAAGAGTAAATTTTAAATAAATTTAAAGTGAATTTTAAGAAAATTCATCCCCTCTGTAAACTGGTGTAACTGCTATTGAAGTACAATATAGATGTCTCTATGACAGGTAGAAATGCAGTCCCTAAAAGCAAAGCCTCAAAATGAAGTCTTTCTTTAGAAAGCTCTACCTTTTACACAACCATAACTTAGCCACATGAAAAAATGTCTATCTCCTGGAGAAAAAAGACTTGGAAGCCACAGGTCAGAGACAATATACAAAGACTTTTAAAATTCCCTGTCATCAGCTATGTCCTAAACCAAACAACTATTTTTTAGAAAATGTCAAATGAAATAATGACATTGATTTTTGTTTATTAAAATAAAAATTCCTCAAGAAGAGTAAACTACAAATTAGGAATTAGTGAAGAGAAGAAACTGAGAAATTTAGCCCATTTGAGACCAGCAACTCAACTGGCCACAATAATCCCCTGCAGCACTACAGGCTTCCACAGTGGCTGGAAAGCTGTCCAGCAGAAAAGGACGTGGGGGTGCTGATCAACAGCTGGCCGAACATGATCCAGCAGTGTGCCCAGGTGGCCAAGAAGGCCAGTGGCATCCTGGCCTGTATCAGCAACAGTGTGGCCAGCAGGACCAGGGCAGTGATCATCTGCCTGTACTGGGCTCAGGTGAGGCCACACCTTGAGTCCTGTGTTCAGTTCTGGGCCCCTCACTACAAGAAGGACATTGAGGTACTGGAGCGTGTCCAGAGGAGGGCAGTGGAGCTAATGAAGGGTCTGGAGCACAAGCCCTATGAGGAGTGGCTGAGGAAGCTGTGGTTCTTGAGCCTGGAGAAAAGGAGCCTCAGGGGAGCCCTATCACTCTCTACAACTACCTGAAAGGAGTTGTAGCAAGGTGGGGGTCGGTCTCTTCTCCCAGGCAACCAGTAACCTGACAAGAGGACATTGTCTTAACCTGCACCAGTGGAGGTTCAGGTTGGACATTAGGAAGAAATTCTTCACAGAAAGGATGATTAGATATTGGAATAGGCTGTCCAGGGAGCTGGTGGAGTCACTGTCCCTGGACATGTTTAAGGAAAGACTGGATGTTGCACTTAGTGCCACGGTCTAGTTGACATGGGGATGTTTGGTGATAGGTTGGACTCAATGATCCCAAGGTCTTTTCCAACCTAATTGACTCTGTGATTCTGTAATTTTTTGACAGCTGTTAATCAATGGAAGGAAACTTCATTTGTCTCTACAATACTGGACAAGTACAAAGCACAAAGATGTTTTTAGTGTAAGAAAATGCCCATTGCATCTTCTCCTGCTTTGGGAGCTGAAGCATTTTCTTATTGCTCATGCTTTGGGTAGTAAGGCTTATTTTAAGGGCTGTTTTTTGTTGATGCTTGCCCTAGCACTGCTTAGAAGAGCCAGAAGGCTCATGTAATGTTTCAGGCTACTGCCAATGACGTGTGAACTGACTTGCATGAGAAATTTCAAGTTGATCACCTGCTGCTAAATTCCAGGTTCTAAGCAATTTCAGATAAAGCAGACAGTCTTCACATTACTGTAAAAATAGTTCTTCACATTAATCTAAAATGTTTTAAAGACTACAGGTTCTTGTAAATTAATTGCAGTTAAGTTTTTTGGGATGTGTAGAGTATAGCAAAAGATTCTAGTGGGTTGATCTCTTTAGTCAATTTCATGAGGGAAAGCTAGATTTATGACAACCTGGCTTCAGTGTGAACAATCAAATGCTAAACAAAAGCCAGTTTTTTGAGAGCTAAGGATAATGGCAGATGGATTCAGTAACAAGAACAGAAACTTTTTTTACAGCATGCAAAGTGAACGTTAAGCTGTAAGCCAATCTTCCAACCTTGTTATAAAAATAGATCCACTTACCCCAGTGAGGATCCTCATGTCTAAATTTTCAGGCACTAGCCTTCTACAAGATTTTCATTACTTTTCTACCTATTTTTAATTCCTACAAGAATTAAATTATAGAAACTATTTTTTTCCTGTTTATGAATGGAGGAAATGACAGGTGGTTTACTCTTCCTCTGATATCACTCCTGCCCCTTTGGCCTGCCTGTGTTAGAGGCCAAGTTCTGTAAATTAATCTATATTATTAACCATCTCCCTAAATAAGACATAGTATGTAATTGTACATGTATTTTGGAAAAAATGCATAGTTGATAGTTTAGAGATTTCATGAATATTCCACTTAGCCTGCTTTAGAGATGATCAGCACAGTAGTGGAAAACCAAGTCTACGGGTATCAAAGAATCACAAAATATCACAAAATATCCTGAGTTGGAAGGGACCCACAATGATCATCGAAGTCCAACTCTTGCTATGACTGAAGAGTCATAACAGTGACTTCCCTGGAGCTGTACTACACTACTATCTTCAAACAGATTTTTTTCCTAATTTGCTCTATTTTCAGAAGGGAAAAAGTCTTGACGGATAAAGATGTTTGCTGCTACTGACAAGTAATGTAAACATTCTTGATACGAGCAGAATTTATTTTTTTTTCAGTATTGTGGAGCCATGTAAGTCTACAGTGCACTGGTGCCTAAGAACTTAACTGACAAGGCAGTGTTACAGAATAAAACACCATTTGCTTCTGTATGGCAACCATTGGTAGAATCCATGCTCCAAGCTCTGCACTGACAGACACCCAGTTGAGCCTGCCTGTGAGCATGCATGTGCCTCAACGTCCCAAGTGTTTTAAAAACAGTGCTCACCAATCTGGTAGGCCTGTCTCCGCAGTGTTCTGGAAGCTCTGTGTCCCTTCTTCTTTAAAAACATCTGGCTTCCTGAGGGTAAAGGAAGCAGAAGGGGTATAATAAAGAGCCAAGGAAGGAGAGAGTCTCCTGGGGTCAAAGGGAAGCTCTGTGCCCAGCTGTGTCCCCTGTGGTGGCTCTGAATATTCAAAATCACCATGGGAAATGCTTCCTCTTTGCAAGGCCAGCCAATGAGAGAGAAAGGGATTGCATGGGAACATCTTTCTATTACAGTTTGGACAGGCTTCTCATAAGGATTGAAAAGTGAAGTTATGGAAGGATTTCGGCTGAAAAGGGCATGCCAACAATGCATAGTTCATTTTTCTTTGCAGAGTCTATGGAGAAACTTCTTTACTCTTTACTTCCAAGCAATACAAAATGAAGTCTTAAACAGCGTGACATTTTGGAAGGAGGATCACAGATAATGGGAAAATATTTGGAGATGGGCCCCATGGAAACATTTTTACTCACACTTTTAGCTTCTTATTAAGGTAATAGGTCTCAAGGCATAATAACTGTCACCTTCTTGACTACAAGGGGGAAAGAGCTATTTATCCTAACTTTATAACTCCATAGTCAATAAAGATGCCACTTCATTCATGAGAAGCTTCATACTCAGCAACCCTTTTGCAAGAGGCAGGATCAGAAAAAATGTCCAAAACTGAGAAAGTTACTCCTACCATGACCTTACTTTAAACGATTAATGTTTTGCTATGAATTCCCATTTTTTGAAGGCAGCATTACCTTTTACATATCCTTTCTCCAGGTCAGTTTTACTGTGAAAAAGCTATTTTTAGATAGTGCACTTTGTAACAGAAATATAAAATTAATAGAAATCTATGTTTTTATACTCTTAAATGTAGGACAATTAAATGTAAAATGTAAAAAAAATCTTAATTTGACATGAAGATATATAGATATACCTTTTTAAAAAAACTAAAACACGATACTAGAGATTGAAATCGACCATGTCATGAATCATCATTGTGCAACTCTAGAATCTTTTTCTTATCAGCTGCCTGGATTGTTAACAACAAAGTCAATGCCCCTTCCCAGTTCCCAGCCCAGACTCAGCTGATCCTGCACAGAGCAGCTTCGGTCTGGCATTTCAAAGATCACTTCTGGGCACACACAGGTCCTGTCTGACTGGGTCAATGCCCCTGCTCTATTGTTACACTGTTACACATGCACACAGTCACTGCTAACATGAAATCTAAAATCCTCTTTAATCACTTTGTGAATCCCTGCCGAGCTTCTTCTCATAGGTCATCACAGAAAGCATCTGTGAGATCAGATGCATACTAATGTTGCTTGGAAGTCATGGAAAAATATTAAAACTATTCAGGTTGTAAGTTTAAGTTTAGATATCTATTTCTTTCTGACAGGTTTCCCAAGACAGATATTTCCTAAAATGGCTTCAGTCCCTCATTTGTTCTTCTATTCACTGCCAGAGAACAAAGTCAATCTGTATTTCTCAAAATAGGGTCACTGTGTCAGGAAGTGACACAGAAAAGATTTTCAGGTTTCATAAATAATCCCACCTTCTGGTTTACTCATCAACACTACAGACAGCAGGTTCAAAAATCCAAATCTTTTTCCAGCTCTGTTGTGTTTTTTCTGCTGGCACTGGTCTTCTGAGTTTGTGCTTCTACATATCGTCCGTTACTGTAACATGAAAATTAACTTAATTCTGTGAAGTAAGACTTAAAAGATTACTTGCAACTAGGGGAAATAATTTTCATTTTTTTATGACTTTTATTTAGGATAGTCTGAGAACCTTCCTGAACTTGCTTCTGTTTGAACTGTAAATATATATTCAAACTCACTTTGAAATGAGTACCTATCAAAGCATTTGATACAGTTTCCTAATGACTATCCTCGTTAAAATCATTCTTTACTTACAGTCTGAATTAGTCTAACTTGAATATATAGGCATTGCTGCTGTAATAGAAACTTTATTCAGTTTATTCTCCATGTGGCTCAGTATTATTGGAATGTAATCAAGTCATCTTGTAAGAATATCTTGTTGAACTAAACAGCCTGAGTTCTAACACTTTTGAGTACACAGTCCATCTTTGAAGCATGTAAGAATTCAATGGTTCTTGTCCTGGGAATACACAAGTAAGGTCAAAAATAACCTTCTAATTCTATAGGAGACTTAGCTCTTTATATATATACTAGAATTTATATTTAGATGATTCTCACATCTTTTCTTAAATCTTTACTTCTCAGGATATAATCCTCCATCCTGTGAATTTTACTTACATTCTTCAGTCCTATATATATATCAATTCACACTTGGCTGTATTAAAAATATACTTAAACCACTTTTCTAAGTGATTCCTATCACTGACACAGCGACACATCTTCAACATTCACCACTTCTATGATTGCTCTGTACTTACTGCCTTTATTAGTTTTAGTTATTTTCTTCTGGAGTATTAATTGTAAAATTTCAATCCTTTTTCAATCCAAATTTCTCAGCAACTTGGAAACCCAAATTCCTATATTATACTCTAGGTATTAAGAAAGTAGTTTAAATGAATGGTATTTTGGCCTCTAGAAGCTGAAGCTCTCTTGAAAACAGAACTTAAGATGAGAACTTATGTCTACAAGTACATTTAAAATAGTTAACATATGCCTCAAAAATAGGCCACAGGAATTTTTCTTTCCCTCCAACAAATAGATTCCCTCTGTTTTCAAAGACAGGATTTTCATGGTATTCTGTTCTCTTTACTATTTGCTGTTTACCGTCATATTCTACCACTGGGCTGCGATTCTATAAATACTAATTCAGGAAGGAGTCCATGCTTGTGTTGAAGACAGTTAGGAAAATGACACAGTGTTGAGCAATAGCTTTGCACCTGCCACCTCTACAGCATGAAATTCTATTACCTATCACACTATGTAGTTTCCTACTAGTACAGAAGATTCCCTGGGACTTTCACTGCCTCATTTTGGAAGTTCTTCTTCCCCCTCTGTTTTGGCTCATATGTTTCTTTGTGTTTTCGGCATACGTGCATTAGATGAGATGACTTGTCAATAAGACAACTTACTTGAAGTTTTCCCTAACAATTACCAAGAGTTGTTGTGACAGATATTAAACATTTCTGCTTGAAAAGGAGAATATTCCTGACAGGGCACAATGAAGGAGACGACCTCCACATCTGAATCACCTTCAAATCATTACCCTGTGTCCCTGAGTTCATTAGTCTATGATCACACTTTATAACACCATCATTCTGTGAGCAGATAAAGAACTGAAGTCACTTTAGCAAAAATTAATACTGTGACATTTAATTTAAGGCCTTTTCTCTAACAAGCATTTTCTTGCAGTCATTTGTAAAATGATACTACTACTATTACTTTTGTTCACAGTATATTTGATTGTACCCCAGTTGGGCACTAATCTGGTGCTGGGAGAGGCTTGGATTCTGTGCCTGAATTCTGCCTGTAACTCATATTCTAACTCATATGATGATATATGTCAGGCTGATATTGCACGAGAAATTCTCGTGTTGGAACAGTTTCTCTGCTTTTCTCCCTCCACTCCAGATGTTCCATCAGAATTATAATGCTGGTAATTACATGAAACCCACACAAGTACAAAAGATTTAAACCTTTTTTTTGGATGGCAAACATAAAATTCAAGCAGACTAAACCCTTGAATAAGATCTCAGTATCCCTTCCAAAACATGAAGGGACTCTTTCAATGCCTTTATTTTAGGGATATTATAGACTAATGCTGTCACAATAGCAAGGGTAATATTTAAGTGGTGTACCTGTCATTTAGAAGCATTTTGTCAAACAATATGTCAAAAAGGGGAGGTATATAAATAAATGACTAAACATCTCTAATGTAGAAAAGCTCTCATAGGCTTTTAGGATTTATCTCATAAGATTTAGTAACTATTTGCATAAAGTTTTTAAGCAGCTGAGCAGATAATGTGAATTTCCTAAATTTTTCTCCTAAGGAGGAAGAGATTCTCTCTCCACTGTGAAATCACAGGCTCATAAATGAAAATGCAGCTGGAAGCAGCTAATGTTATACACATCTGAGAAAAATTAGAAAGAACTGGAAAACAGAGAAACGAACATAGAGAAGGGGGAAATGCACTCATGTAAACAAAGGTAAAAAGAGAGGACATTGAATTCATTACATATGCAATCAAAATTCTTTAGGAAGTTTAATAAGAGAGTCTCTCATAGAAGAAAAGCTGTCAAAATGGAAGATGACTTTCTAGAACAGAGGCCTAGAGCAGATTTTGCTAGGGCTAAACTTTACACTTCAAACAAACAGTGGATAAAAAGAACAACACAAATGAAATAATCAGACACAAAAATATGCTGATAATTAGACTTCTACAGATCAGATCAGATCAGAAATAAAAGTCTTATTTTATCAATGGATTTTAAAAACCCAAATAATTTCATAGACTATAAGCAAAGGAAATCAAATTAAAAGCCTTTTAAACTTGGTCTTGTTATTAGGGGGTAACACTCAAAAGTACATTAAATACGAGCTTTAACTACCCAGTTGTTTTTTCAATTTTTTAGCAAGTATTCTGAGATTCAGACAAAAATGTAAGACACAACAGTAAGAACAACATCAGAATGGTTCTTCCTTTTCTTGGTTTTGCCTTTGTTTCTTGTGTTTGGAGTAGTTCAGGAAATGGATATATCTTCCATTTCTACTCAGAGATGTGCACTTTTCAAACAGCTTGGTTTTACTTGCTAAGAACATAAGAAAGAAAATCTTGGCTTCTAGCCAGACATAACTTCATGTATTGCATTTCCAGGTCTGATCTTTTTTCCTACTGTTTTCTTCTAGGATTTCAACTCTAAACTTTATCTATGTGTTTTGGAATTGCTGGCTTTAATTTAATTTTTAATTTCAGTTTTGGCATTGCTGACTTTAACTTTCGAATGTTTAGTCATATATACAATTTATAAGAACAGAAGCAAACAAAGACAGAAATCATTAAAATACTCCCAAATAAATAAAATATTGGTTTCAAATGAAAATACCTCTGTAGGCTAGGTGACACTCGAATGGTCAATTCAAAATGTAACTTCACGTATGATTAATATGCAAAAGTATTTTTAAAACGTTTCTAACAACTCTTCAGAAACCTACAGACATTCTGGGTGCTTCTCTATCCTTTCACATTCCCTCTAGAAATGTGTTTACATGTATCACAATCCTGGGCTTTGAAGCAGCTGGACAAACTATTTTTTAACCTAACCACCTCTGAGTGATTCTGACCTCTAAGTTTGTCTTTGCAAATATTACTTTAAAACAATTTTCATGCACGAATATTAGATCTGCAAATATGAACAGGATTCATTTAAAAAAACAGAAACAGGAAAAAACCACTCCAAATCTAAAGTAGGGGAAGGAAGAAATACATTACCAGGATACATTTAAAAAAAGAAACTACAAGTTTTTAATTTTTCCTTCGGAAAACTATGTTTGCCAGTATTTTTACTGCACCTGTAGGTATTGCAGGCATCGCAGGCATATAAAATCTTTCTATTTTTCAATGTTTGGATACATTTTATACATACAAAATGCACATATACATAAGTACACACAAACACACATAATCTATGGTTTAACTTCAGTAAACCATAAAACAGACACTGAAGGCTTGTTCGTCTTTTCTACAAACACGCTAACTGAAGTGTCAATATTTTACCCTTTGTAACATCTCTCTGGTAATTCTATTGCATTTGTTCAAGTGCCATGGTACTTCATCAAATCAGTCATGTTAGTGCAAAAGATATATACTGAAATATCCGCATGGGCAACGTTAAGTAGCTTTATTATGTAGTGACATAATGCCACACCTCTTACCAAACTAATTTACAGAATCATATTTTGCTTTCGACTGAAACAGAACTGCAGATGCATTTAGCTCTAAATATATGATTGGGCATGTGAGTGTGCAAGAACAGCAGAAGACTTTTAAGACTAAATCCTGGTATGAGGTGCAGAAGGCTTTTGGCTAGGTCAACAGTACTGAATTATTCTTTCAAAACTTATTGCAAAGTACAAAAGCACTCTACAATTGGAGGCTCACTATTTCTATTCCCTGAGCTAAAGTAACTACCTCTTGAGAAGTGACTCTGGAAGCACAAAACTAAAAAAAGCATGAAACCAAAAGTTTAAAAAGAACTCTTACTACCTTTGCCAAGGTAATACTATCTCAAGACTCAAAGATCATCTTAATAGTGATGATTCAAAAGTATTAACCTCTTTCATAACTGAAAGCAAAGCTGCAGACACTACTTTTGACTGATATATATGTTTGCTGTCTGGTTTTCAGCTAGCATCTGACAAGTAGAAAAGGGTCACAAAACATATTTGTAAATAAGTAGAAAAGTAAAAAAAATCCCTTGCGTCTTAAATTTCACTACAAGAAAGACATTCTAAAGCTGGTGAAGGGTCTAGAGCACAAATCCTATGAGAAGCAGCTGAGGGAGATGGGGTTGTTTAGCCTGGAGAAAAGGAGGCTCAGGGGAGCTTTATCACTCTCTGCAACCACCTGAAAGGATGATGTAGCCAGGTGGGGGTCGGTCTCTACTCTATGTAACTTGCAACAGGATGAGAGGAAGTAGCCTCAAGTTGCACTAGGGGAGGCCTAGATTGGATATTAGAGAAATGTCTTCATCAAAAGGATTATCAAGCATTGGAACAGGGTGCCCAGGGAAGTGATGGAATTTCCATCCCTGGAGGTATTTAAAGATGTATGGATGTGGCACTTTGGGATGTGATTTAGTGGTGGACTTGGCAGTGCTGGGTTGGACTTGACAACCTGAAAGGTCTTTTTCAACCTAAATGATTCTATGATTCTAAAATTGTTTGCTATTTATTACTGAGAGCTTTCAAGATTATTTATCTTCACAAATGCTAGGAGGTCATAGAAAAATTTCTGCAGGCAATGGAGTACCTAGCCACAGTTTTGCACAACGACCTTAAGTTGAAATCTCTATATGATAGTGTTGACTTTATAGCAAAGTTGAGACTATACTTATTTGATTACGACAAGGCCATAAAGAAGAAACAAGCCTCACACTCTTATTTTTCCAGAGGGGACTATGAGGGAAAGCATCTTTTCCATGGGATTAACACATTGTTAATGACAGCATGTAAGTTGTCATTGACAGTAATATTCATAACAGTAGCTGTTACTTTTGGTCCTGCAGGTGGTAAAAGAAGTTCCACCTACAGTATTTTGCTGACAATCCTTCTTTTACATGGAGATGACTCTCGGGAGCTGAGAGCCTTTTTGTGTTTGCTTTTTTTTTCTTCTCAGCTATGCAAATCTAGAATCCATATATAACAGTTTTATTTGAAAACTTCACTACTTATGTTTTAAAGTTTAAAATGGTCTTTATAATATGATAAACACTCTAGAGATCCAGGACATTTAGATACCATTCCTGGAATGAACAGTCTCACAAGTTTAGACTCTGTATGAAATCCCCACCTGAAATTGGAAGCAGTCATGGGCATGAGGTTTCTGACATTTATTGTTCTTTGGAACAGCTAAGATGTTCTGCTAGGCCAGAAAAGCAAAAATTATGTCTGGATATAGTGAGAGTATCCAGAAGGGTTTGCTTTCCCTAAGAAACAGCTGCTTGTTGCTGTTTGTCACATTTCCTTTATGAATACTTCAAATATACTTTCTGTCAAGCTAGTGATGCTTTGTATTGAATACTGCACTAAGAAAGACCGGTTTTGAAATGACCTGCTCCCTTGCAGTAACTTTCTCTCCCTGGTTGGGACTTTGTCATCAATCACTGTGAAATGTGGGTCCTGAAATTCATTATTTCCCTTCTTTTTTTTTTTTCAATTTTTAACTACCCAGAAGGACAACCTGAGAAATTCCCTATCAGGCCAAGTCTGTCAGTTGGTTTGATACCCAAACTGAGAAACAAGAAATCCTGTTCAAAGTCTCTAGGGCTCAACAGATTGAGGAAATATGTTATGGTGAGAAACTCAAGTCATGGATGGCAGGTACTGCAGAACCTTGCAAAGGATAAAAAACGGAACACTTCTATCACTTATCCTGGAGCTCTCAACAGATAGGACTTCGCTACCACTGGGAAACAAGGAGCAATCACTGTCAGATGAACAGAAAGACTGATCAGTAGGGTGCTACTCTGTGGCAATCAAAGTAAAGAGACCAGTAACTTTCTTTTTTAAAAAAAGCTCCTTTTAAATTCTTCCACGTATTTCTGGAAATGTCAAGCAACATGCAGCAGTGGGGCCTTCCTGAAAACGCAATTACTCAGAATCTGACAAAATTTTATACTATAAGTTAATTTTGGTATGGAAAACAAACTCTTAAAGAAACTTTCCTACTCCATTTATTGGATCAGAAAAAAAGTATAGCTGCTGTAGAATTGTCTCGTCTTATGTGTATTAAGTATAGTGCTTTGAATGACACTGCAACAATAAATTCAATTTGCAGCAGTAATAGATATCTGTGCCAACAAATAGAAGGCAAAACAAAATAAACAACATTAGATAAAAACTTCTTCAAATGATTTGTCTTAATATTAGAAAAGACTTACTTATTTCTCTAACAAAAAGGGTGAAATACCTACTCCAAGATGTGCCTTGTTGCACCACTGTGACACTTGGAATGAGTGACATTTTCTCTGGTATTCCTTTTTTCCATGGATGCCATAAAGTGCATCGCATGAATATGAAGTGACATCTTTACTAACATGTGGTACTTACTTATCACCCACAATTCCCAAGTTGATTGTTGGATAGCCATGTTCTTGGATTGTAGCTAGGAGAGTTGAACGGTTACTGTCCCGAATCTTTCCTGGTAAGAGGTCATCTTCAGGATTCAGTAGCTATAAAACCAGAAACACTCTTAGTCAATCTCCTTGGAATCCTGTGCCTTTACACAAGTGAGAATTTTCTTCTTCAGATTGGACAGGATATTTTTAGACACATATCGTAAAATGTATGTATAAAGTGATTTAGTGAATTAAATTAATAAGATATGTAAAGTACTTGTTTAGTCCAATCATCCATGTTGTTTATTTTGTTCCTATTCGTTCATGTCTGCACAACCTTCTTTCTTCTTATGAGTACCTGGCTTCTAATCTCAAATATCAGCAATCAAAACAAAACAAAAAAAGTTTCCAAGTTATTGCTTCTCTTTAAATAGTTCTAAAGGAACCTCATTGATGTTGCTAATTAGATTTAAAGGTATTAAATGAAATTTTGAAGTTAATTGTCTACTTTCCAATATGTTTTTTAAATACAACAATCTGCATTAACAGACAGAAGCTTAAAGCTTAGTTCTTATATCAATTACTGTTTTGGATGAAAAACTTTCTCTCAAGATAGTTGTGTCATGTATTTTGGAAGCTGAACTACAAAATATACATATGTAAACATATGTTTTATATATATTAGGAACTCTTTTGTAGGACACAGAAGGACAATACAATATTGAAGAAGGTAAATAATAGAAATACTAGTAAGAATGTATCTGTCAAAATTACAGCCATAACATCAGGTAGTAAGGTAAAAATAACCAAAGGTGGAACAAGGCTAAATTTTATGCTTTGGCTAGCAGCTCTGTTTCTGTGCAGACTTTCATAGAATGCTTCAGAAACCACTGTGCAGGATCCTTTTTAACATGAAACAAAAGAGAATACCCATAAGGTAAAGGACTCTTTAATGGCATATAAGAATCTACAATCCTACGGAAGTTACTAATCAGTAAATCGTCATCTCATCTCTAATCCTTGTAGCTCTGTGGATTTGTTCTTTAGTTAGCCATATGTTTCCTGCATGCCACACCCTGTCTATGCTACGAAACCTGGCAAGATTCTGTCCCAGCAAGGCTGGCCTCAGGCACCCACAGTACCTAGAAGTCACTTTCACTAGGGTTGTGGAAGTTGTAAGGATGTGACCAGATGACAAAATTCAACATACTAGAAGCTTTAAAAATCTTTCAAAATTCAATATATTCCAGCTGTATGAGAATACAGCTATTGAGTTAATGTTTGTGTCTGTATTTCCAAAGGTTTTGCTCTTCTATTCTTTCTCTGCCCTGCTGCGGGAGGGATTGAGTAGGCACAGTTGCTGGTTTGGGTCAACACACAATATATGTAAAAGTAGTAAATTAAGTTAATCCTGAACCTGATTTTTCTGATGTAGTTAAGACAAATCTGTTAGAAAACTGGCCTAGAGTTCTACCAACAGGAGAGAGCCTGAATTTCAACATATGCTTCTATTAGAAAAGATATTAAGGCACAATACCACAGCAAGGCATTTGGTAGTACTATTCAGTTTTCAAAGACAGGTTATCTGCCATTTGCACTACAGCTACAGAGGAGTGCTGCTCAAAATAAACTACTCTCCAGTCATGACTGGCAGTATGAATTAAAACCCTGACTACTCCACAGGCTTTCCCTTGCTGGCAGGAGGAGAGCAGCTGGCACACGGTTGGATACGTTATCAAAATTTTGGCAAAGATAGTGTGTGAGACCTGTGAGAGAGCCCTTGAGGGAGAAAACACAAGCAGCTGATCATGGGTTGATCCCCCACAAAAGTATCTCATGTCAGCATGAACTGCAGTTCAAAAAGTGAGTTTGCTTAGGAATAGGGTGGAAGTCACTATCCAAAACACTGTCCCGAAGAAGACATAGTATTTCAGACCATATTCTAAACAAACTTTTTTTACCTCATTCCCTGTTGACATTACTGCAACCACTGGAAACTTGTTAACTTCTACTTCGGTTACTCCAACAGTTGCTAAGAGACCAATCTCAGATGGACCCATGTGGGTTCCTTTAGCCAGCACACATTCACCTCTTTTAATGTCATGTCCTATAGGTCTGAAAATCATAGCACAGAAAAAAAACATGAAAGAGAAACAGAATGAGATTCAAAGTATAAAGATACTTTACTGATTGGTCTTGCTCCAGGTGAGGAGTGTCCATGGACATTCATTAGTCAGACTGTCAAAATGTCTCTACTACTCATTAAAAAATGACCTTAAAAATCAAAAGCTCTTCTATTCCTTACAGAGATATTTTATTGTTTACAAATACAGACCTGATATCTTGGCCTGGTCGAGCTTGCACCAGGATTCGAACCTCTAGTTCTTCAGTGCCCTACAAAGACAAGAACATCAAATAGTCATCTGAGCTATTCAAAGAAGATGAATGTTTTAAACTTTAGGCCCCAAAAGTTAAAGTTAATAAATGTGTTATTACAGATTGTGATTCTGTTTACCTACTGTAAAAATTTAAACCCCTAAACCTCAGAAAATTACTAATGAAAAAAAATTCTTACTTTATCCCAATATTTTCAAAATATGGATTATTGTACATTCTGTTCCTTTAAACCTGCTCTTCTTGCATAAGAGAAAAGGTGATTTTTGGCTCTGAGTGTTCAAAATGGCTGTGCTGGTGCCCAGGATGGATCCCCCTTATTGCCATCTGAGGCTGTAAAAGCTTGTGATAAAAATTTAGGGCAATGGTTAATCCAAGGATGATTTTATTTTTATGACATTCTGGGATGGTTGTCCAGTCATGAAGATTTGAAATTTCCATATCTTTGATAACATTTAAAGATAGATAGGAAGATTTTAAGGGAATCAAGAGGAGAGCCAGTGATACATTTGAGTAATATAAAAGGTCCTATTTAGGACCCCTGGATTAGGGGAAACAAGAAAATAAAGGCTTTTGAGGAATTCAGTAATCCCAGGTTTGAAAAGCACCATGGAAAGTGTGACAGGGCTTGCAGACAGGTATGGCATTATGCTGAGAACATCTTTCACTTGGTGTGTGTCAGGCAGCTTTCTTCTTGCTGTGTATTAATATATTTTGAACTGTTTTGTTCTGATGGCTGTTAACAGTCAGCATCCATACTGATATACTGATGCTAGGTCTTTTTCTGGTTGATCACATTGGACTCCTTTCTTCTACAAGGTGATATAAAAACTCAAAATGAAAAGGATGTAGATACGTTTCTCAATTATTGTGCATTTGGCAAGCTCATGAGAATTTTTCTTCTTGATGGATAGCTGTAATTCCTTTCAAGCCTATGACTTCTACAGTCATTTGGGGAATGCTTGCTATGAAATTTAAGTACCGCTACCACAACCAAAAGTCAAGGAGTGAGTTCCTTTTAAAAATAATCTCTTTTCATAAGAACATTTTTTAAATACTAGAGATTTCATTTCAGTTATATTCCAGCCCTGAAGGAGTTCTTAACACTAAAAAGAAAAATATTCTTGGTGTAGCCACCCAGACATGAAAAGGGAGAGAAAAACCCCAAACATATTAATTAAACTACACTAATTATTATGAGCAGGATTAGCAGAGTGGTATATTCAAAGGCAAGCTGAAACTGAAGAATTCTACCTCACACTTACAGGCATAAAAAAGAAGTTGAAGGTGGCTGACCATTTGAGAAAAAAATTCAGAATTTAAGGACATAGACAAATAACCTGTTCTCACATGCAGAGGAGAATACGTACATAAGAAGCGGAAGACAAGACAGAGATACCCAAAGGAGTAGAAAATACCAGGTTATCATGTATGTTGCTCTGCAATGTGATAGTCCTCTCATGATGAGGTGGGCAATGGCCACAAAAAACTTGCTCACTAAGGCTACTGGAATGAGTAAGTAGTGAAGGTAATGGTGTACTCTACAGGATGATAGAATCTATACATACTCATCTGTAACCTCAGAGCACGACTGACTCAATAATTTCTCTGACAGGAAGAAGGGCAGCCTAGACACCTTGCTGAGTTCATGAGATGTAAAAACACATACTATATTTATACTATATATATATATATATATACACTATACATTTTAGTGATAAGGCATGAGAAAGGATCATGAGAATATGTTTCAGTTTTTGCTGTCTTCATCAGCTCTGAACACTAGCATTCATCTGCTTATACCACGGCTGCAATCAAAAGATAGCGCAGAGCTACGGTGAAATGGAACACCTTGTCAGAACAGCAGTAGAAGAGTCAAGACTGATTTGAGCCGATTTGAGCAGAGAACCATACACATAGTTCATTCCAAAACTGAACTTGGAAGTTGTGTCAACAAGAGATGTATCTTCTTGCCTTAAAATCTCTCAGGGCAGCAAACGCAATGATGGTGTCCTGAAATCACAGCTGGGTAAGTGAAAGTAATGATTCATAAGGAATTCTCTGAACATAAAGGAAGTCCAAAATGGACTCTTTGCAATAACGGTGTTACAGAGAGCTCCTGTGTTTCGTAAAAAGCACAATTTACTTTGTTAAGACAACTATGCATACAGACTTAGTAGTACATATTTTTCTGTGGCATTTTGCAGCATCTGTAAGGTAGTGCACTAAAATGATTTACAGGTAAGCTGGAAAATCTGTTCAAGTCAAACAGTTAAGTTTACATTCTGGAGGCATATGCACCTTATCCACTTCCTGAGGATTTTCCTCCATTTTCAGAGGTCTTAAATTTAGCAGTTTTCTCATTTTAAAGAAGAACAAAGGTCTATTTTAAAAAATTGGTTGTGGTTTAAAAAAATTCGGGAGGCACTTACTTCCCCTGTTTCATAAGAAAACCCTTTATTCTAAATAGATGCATTGAAAGGTATGTGTAGAAGACATTCTCCCAAATCCACTGAATTCGCCTTTGTTGAAATGAGATAATTTCTGATAATACAGAATTATCTTCATAACATAGTTTAAAAGAACTGAAGTCATCCCATGGATTTTGCAGCACTTAAAACAGTTCACTTTCCCACAGAAAATCATGTTCAGCTTTAATTACAACAGCACTAATGCTGCACTATAATATTTCAATGTGCTATTCTGAGATCAATATGTAATTTAAAAAAACTTTTCCCCTTCTTGCTTGGTGAGATTGCCCCTACTCTGTATTTTAAAATGTGAATACAGTAGGCACTCAAATGGGACTGTAGTCATGGATCTCCAGAAGGCATTTGCCTTTCACTCAAATCATGCTCCCAAGTGTTTTGGTGTCAGCATTTTTTTCATGAAAAATCAGTCAGAACAGGTAGGTCTGTGATACTGTTATCACAGCCTGAAAAAGTGAGAATTGCCACTAGGAACTGATGCAAAAATCCTTAAACTTTTGAGATTATCAAAGAGCTTTTCTGTAGAACAATCTTTCATAGTTACAGGATTGTATCGTGAGGCATTTTCTGCTGCACACAAAAGAAAAATGAGGTTTTCAACGTGTGACTCACATCATCTGATTCCCTGATGAGCTCTGTATCTTCCACTTGCACCACTGCATCAGCACCGCATGGAATTGGAGCACCGGTTGTAACACGCATTACCTGACCAGGCATCACAGTCTGTGTTGGCTGAAAAATAAAAAACCAGAAACTAATCTACTTTTGAAAAGAAAACTTTCAAACCACTTGAATTTTATGCACATAATCTGAAAGACTAGAATTCTCATTTGCATCATGACTCTTGATATACTGTGAGTGATATCAACAGGTATAATAAACTCCAAAGTATTTAAAGACCATTAGGTTTTTGCTTCACATCTGCCTTTATTTATGTGGTGACATATTAGATGGCTTCAGTTTTGCCCCCTTAGATTTCTATCACAAGAATAACTTCCAGAAGAAGCAAGATACTGATACTCTGGTTGGCTCAGAAAAATAACTGGCTCGGAAATTTAGCAGTTAGATGCCTCCTCAAAACTTAGATGTGCAAAAATCTAGTACTTCTCTGTACATATATATGTTTTGTAGAGTACTCTAGTACCCAGGGTTGAAACTTGTGTGCTTTAGTTTGGTTGGATTTTTGGAAAACCAACAGCTTATAAGCATGGTAGTATAACCAGCTGCTTCATTTTCAAGCAGATTTCTTCACACTGAGAGACTGCTCAATACTAGTTCACAGAGAATATTTATCCTTGTCAGGGTCAGTTTAGCAGAGCCTAAAATTAATAATGTTCTACAATTATATGAAGTCACAGAACATTAAAAAGTTTCAGCAGAAGCAATACAAAGAATACAAAATTATCAGAACAACATGATAAAACAAATGACTTTTTTTAATACTATTTCTCACCAGGCAGGCTATTTTAACATACACTTTTAAAAATCCAGAGTAAAACTGTAACTTGACAATAACTACTTAATAAATAACTAAAGGAAAATTTTCTAAAAAAGGCATTTAAAAGAAGCTGATATGATGACAGAGATTTCACTGCTGGCTCCCCATGGCACTGCAAGTAAGCCGGACTTCTTTAGGTTTCACTGTTATTAGTGAACATGTGCTACACACAGATCTACACAGCTCAAAAGCTGTGTAGAAAAATCTCAAAGCAACATATTCTGTACGAGTCACACATATAATTCATGTGCAGACTGACTGTATATTCCACATGCAGCATTGGAATACACCCAGGACTTCTCAAACTGTGATTAGCACATATTTGACAGCAACCCACAGGCCTGCAGTCAGTACTGCCCAAGCACTGCTACCTGTCCTGCCCAGCAGTCATTTACTCCATGACTTTTGACAGGAGGCTGTGGACACCTGCAAACTCTAGACCAGTGGCCAACATTTCAGCTGCATAAAGCTGTTTGCCTTGCCCATTCTTCTACTCCATTTTAGCACTGTCATAACCTCTGAAAGTTATTACTTTGCAATGTGTGTATTTCAAAGACTACTTACTGGGACAGAAGCCCTAGGAAGAGGCTGGGAACGGTCTTTACCTGGCTTACCACAGTTCACAGTGACCTATGCATCCCAAGAAATAACTGAGCCTGGAGCTGATTGAATCTTGACCCTTTTCTACAGGCAATGTCAATCTAACATCCTTAGAGGAGAACATAAATAAAATGCTAAAATAGATTTTAAAAAATCACACTTGCCATATGTCATGGTTAGTGTGTTTTTAGGGCAAGATTTGTGCTCTCCTAAAGTAGGTAACCAAGCCAGATGACATAAAAATAATATTTTTTAAAAATAGTATTTATTTCCCACCACAGACTATGAAAGGAGCTGTGGATGGATAGCAGATACTACCATTTAAACTGGGGCTGCTTAAAAGGGAAAATAATGTTGTCTAGGGTGTTATTTTGACTTTTATGAAAAGAAATGTTGCAAAAGGCAAAGCTTATGCCTTGGATTATGGGAAATCTTCTGCATATTGTTGTAGATATAATCTAGAGATTTATTACAAATAAGTAATATTGTTTTGAACTAAGTATCTCTGACTTTGGTGACAATTTTCAGAGGAACAATGTACTACATAAAAAATTTCTTCCATTTAAAAAGCACCACAAAGAATACAAAATGTCTACATTGATTGCCACAAATCAGTGCCTATGGTGATAAAATGTGCTGTAACTAACTGTGTCTTTGGAGTTTACTATTAGATGAGTTAATTTTTTGAGATGCAATGATGTGATACATTTAAACAAATTTATGATACAATAACAATTGCTGTTAGAATTGGTTATGTTGCTCATATATTTTATTTCTTTTTTGTCCTCTGGGAATTTGATCAGAACTTTATGAACAAAATTCAACCATCAGATTTGTGTGTGAATCTCCAGGGCTGTGTTCTCTGCTAGAGACTATAGATAAAGAAATGATTGCTTCTTAGTAACTGGTATACAACAATTTCACAGAAGCTCTTTTAAAGGCCTTTGAGGTCTCGCTTTTACCTGGAATAGGGCAATACTGGTTTCTGCCCTTTGCCTTCATCCATGATAATCTACTCAATTTTAGTCACTGAATAAAACCCAGAAATAATCTACTGAGCACAGCCCCCATCTCAGGCATTTTCTCTTACACATGATTACACCTCTCCTGTGTGATTTACAATGAGCCATGCTCCTTTCTGTAGAAGGGCCTAAGTCAGTGGAACCATGGAAAACGTCTGTTTTTCATCCTGTATTGTAGCTGGCTAGTCACAGTGCCTCTTACAAACACCTTTAGAAAGTCTTGCAGGAAATGTTATGCTCCAACTATGTAAGTCCATAGGAAGAAAACCATTCTTCCCCATCTGTTCCAAAGGCCATGTGGATGGTTCATCACTAGTAATCTCAAGTGTGCCCTCACCTTCCCAAAATGGGATAGTGTCTGAAAGTTTTCCTCGATACAAAGTAAAAAATGGTTGTTAATATGAACATGATCACCTAGAAATGGAATTCAGAAAATAGTACACAATTTAAAAATTGATACAGAAATGTCCAACTTGGCTATATAGGCCTCCCCGCAGTTCTCAGTCCCATTTTCTTCATTTCTACTTAGTACTTACATAACCTTTTTCCCTACAGGAGGAGCCAAACCTAAAACTATTTTGAACTCCCTGCTGTGAATCACTCTGTTAATTGGTCTGTAACATGAAAAGCAGAATGTTGCTGCTGACAGTGGCTGAAGGGTGAAATGAGACTGAGGAGCCTTCCAAGGCTATAAATAATTTCTTGTGAAGGAGATGAACCTGAAGATGTGTTGGTCCAAGAAAAAAACTTTGACCAATTACTCAGAGGTCAACAGCCTCGTTTTTCTAACTTGCCACTGGTATTTCCAGAAATACGCTCTCTCTGCATGCCTCCTCCCACCCAATTTTTGTTCCTTGTCAGAGAGGCTTCCTATTCCCAGTAATCTGGGAGGACAGACTGTCCCTGTAGAGAGACATTTGTGAGCTCTTGAACTTTGTAGGAGGGAAGCAAGTTCCCATTTGCCCTTTTATCTTTTGTACAAACCTGGTGAACTGATTAGGACACTGAAACACTTTAGACCTCTAATGGGCAGTCCTCCCCATTAGAGACAGCTTCAACAATACTGCTTTCATGCACCACTGTGCTGTGATATTTAACTAGCAAGATGATAATATTGATGACAGGGGAATAACGACAGGAGTGATAATTCAGTAGGTTGCTCTGCTGGTTCTTGGTAATTTTTTTTTTTTTTATTTTTTTTTTAGTATTTAAAGTAGTTTTTACATATTTTGTACTACAGATTCATTAATCCAAGTTCACATGAATATCAGTATTGAGAAGGTGTCTATTATACCAAAGTATAATTCATGATGACGGATGGGACTTAATGCAAAAATAATTTTCACAGTTCTCTGTATCTGTCATGATTAGTCAAATTAAAAGTCTGTTACACTTTTAGAGGCAGTTCAGCTCCATTTAAAAAAAAATGGAATAATCCTACAACTCGTAATACTCCTAAAACCTGACATAACTTTTGAAATATGTCAACTCTACATGGATTTTTTTTTGTTTAGAAGTGAAAGTGGACACACTCTAAAATCCTCATTAAAACCAATCAATCCTTTGTTTTGCCTTCTACTTTTTCCCTTTCTCCATCATTTCACATACAACACACAGAATTATAAACTGGATTTGAAATAGCTGGAGAAACATTTTAGATTAACTCATGTTTTCCTAAATAGAAGGTGGCAGGTATGATTAAATTGACAGAATAACAGTTGTTGAACATAACTGATTTTTTTCCTATTGCCCCAGTATTAATACAGAAATTTTCTGATCATTATCTATCTTGAAAAGCTTCATGCTAAATTCTTGCACTTAATTTTGCAGGTATCAGTGTGGAACATGCAAGCATCTTATGGAAACAGCTATTGGGCTGACATCCTTTAAAAATCTGTCAGCAAAAAGAGGTTAATTCCAGCTTTTCTTTGTTTATGAATCGTTCAGCTACTAGAAGTCTTATGTCCCCAAACACTGTACTAGGGCAGACCGTTACTCTATGCACTCCTATCAGACATGTCAGCACAATGCTCTGAAGTATTTTGGGATATCCTTGTTAGCTCCTTACATAACTGTACTACCTCACTTTCTGAAATCATGTCCCCAGGCACATAGCAGGAGGGTCGGTACAGCTGTGTCCTAGTTCACGCCACTTCCAAGAATACTGAATTTTGGAACACTAGCAAGACTTGTACAAAGACAAAGCAAAATCTTACAGAAGAAAAATACATAAAAAAGAAAGAAAAAAGACACCGTGCTTACCTGCTCACCAGCCTGGGATTCCCCTATGATAAATCGATCTCCTGGGCCATCAGCAGCTGTTAATATGGACAATACAAAGGGTAAAAGATGAACCAAAACAAATGATGGCATTATAAATTAAGAATAGGAGAAATAAAGGTGATTTAAGATTTGGTTCTTCAGTGTCAGCATGACTAAGGTTATAGAAGTTCTGTAAATATTATACATTTTTGAGTCCTTTTGAGTTGTGTTTATTATTTTGAAAATTACACGTTCTAGAGGACAGAGTATTTTTAACTGAAAATTTCTGGGCAGTATGGGGTCAAGTAAATGAAGACTAGGAGGAATTACATTACTAACAAAGATTTAAGAGTGTTCATGAGATTATTTTTATAAAAATTTCCACTGTGAGCAAATCTTATTTTAAGTGAAAGCAACACAGGGGAATCACATGTTTTGAAAGTGTATTATGCACCTATTTTTCTAGACAACAATGGAATATTGACATTTCTAGATTCTATTTCTATCTTTGGAGGAAAATTGGAAATGGAAAAGTGCAATGACTACAGACTGAGTAAATGACCACACAGTTGTGATGAGCAATAGGGCTAAGATAATGCAATGTGGACTGACACGTTAGAACTTTGAGTCTTGTTCCTTCCTGTAACTTCAGATTAGCACTGATCTAGCTACCTTACACTTCTCATTGAAGCAACACTTAAAATTAGGAGTCAGAGATGACTGATTTAACAAGTCTTCAGGATCTCCAATTTAGCAAATCTGTACTTTTGCAGGGGAAAAAAAGGCACAATTACTTATGAAATTTAAACTCCTGACTTCCTTAAAGGTCTTTCAGCAAGTTGCATTCATGGTATTATAGGCTTTACCATGATGTAAAGCATGTATGAAGCACAAGCAACTCTGGCTTTCCAAGCACAGCTGTCACGCTGCCAAGAGTGGTCAGAAAACCCAGGTTTGTATGATCACATTTAAATATGCATTATTATTAATTTTAAATCTGTAGCTGTCAAAAGTTGATTTAGCAGAGATGAAGTCTAATCAGTGACGACCTTTATCTTAATACCTTCTGTTTTACTTCAAGAGTCTGAATATACACCTAGATAACCTTATATTGAGAAGAAGTGCTTTCAGGAAGGATGCCTATTCAGTCTGCATAATGATTTATCACATTTGTACTCAGGCACTGGCTGCAGCTTTGCAGATAATTAGCTATGATAATTATCTATGGTACTTAGTCATGTTTGAAGACTAATAATTAACACAACTTTAAAAGCCTATCAAACATACTAATCCATAAGCTTTAGGACAAAATCTTAAATAAGAAAGTAGAAAAGGACTTTTCAACTAGTTGTCCTTGAATAATGCACGTAATACCACTGAAAACAGTTGTCAGGCCTTCACTGAAAAAAATGCACTTGCATGATCCAGCAAAAGAAGAGAAAGAAATCCCTAACAGTGAAATTATTTTAAACCTGATAAAATACTACTGAATTAGATTTTATTTCTCCACTGATAATAATATGGAGACAAAGTTTGTAGATGATGTACAGCTGACATGACTTGAAAAAAGGATAAGGTTTTGGGCAGACAGGTTTATGCCACTGAAAGCTAATCCTTAATTTTTTTGTAAGAAATATCCAATGGCCAATATTGTAGTCAATATTGTCTCTGCCTACAAGTGGTTTTTTTCATATCCTAAGATAACAGGTCCATGAGAACAAAAAGAATAGAAAAAACCAGAATAGAATATAACTGCCTGATCAATTCAGGACCGACCAAAAGATAAAGCAAATCATTAAGGGTATTGTCAAAATGCCTTTGAAACACAGACAGGCTTGGGGCATCAACCCACCCTATAGGAAGTCTTTTCCAGTGTTTGACCACCCTCTTGGTAAAGAAATGTTTCTCCAGTGTGCAGTCTAAAGCTCCCCTGGCATAGCTTTGAACCATTCCCACAAATCCTGCCACTGGACACCAGCGAGAAGAGATCAACATCTCCCTTTCCCCCTCCTCTCTTCAGGAAGCTGTAGACAGCTGTGAGGTCACCTCTGAGCCTCCTTTTCTTCAAACTAGACAAAACCAAAGTCCTCAGCTGCTCCTCATAGGACATTCCTTCCAGTCTTTTCACTCAGCTCTGGATGCACTCAAGTATTTTAGTGTTACTCTGCTTGAATCCACTGCAAAAATTAGGGTCTTTTGTGTGTCATTTCTGACAGATGTTTTTGAAGACAGTGTTCATGATCATTCTGTTCATTCTGCATGTTTACTGAGACTGTACTTGTGCTTTCCCTTACCCTGCAGCAATCAGGTTGCAAGACAGCATTTGCTTGATCCCAAGGCCCTTGTCACTCAGCATTCTACTCAGAGCTCATCCTTGTAGCTTTTTTCAGTCACATAACCTGTATTTCTCTGGCTACATCTGCACCCCTTGCTGCTATTACTAGTCATTTTGATCTGCCTGTCTCTCACACACAGACCACAGACAGCTGCAAACTCATCCTGTAGTCCTGAAATTTTACTTTTATATCAAATCTAAGGGGAAGTTATTGGAATACATCCACTGCCTGGGTTTGCAGACCATTTCATGGACAGCTGCTTTCCATTGTTTCAGCTGCCAGTAACAAAAAGGATATTTTAATGTCCCCAGAAGGAAGTTGGGCATTGTGTACAAATTTCAACATGATGTTACAATGATTTGATTGCTACCACAGTTAAATCACCACTAGTATAACGTTCAATCTGGTATATTTTAAAATTCCTTCATAGATATCTGAGGTGAACACCATTAATGTTACTTTACAAAGAAAAAAACTGATGCACAGAGAAGCAACTGGCCCAAAACGATGTAGCACTTCATGGCAAAGCAGAGTGTGAATTCAGGTCTCCTGGGAAACCATATTCACTGCCTGCAATGAGTAAAGTCACACTACTAATTTTCATAGAATACTTCACAGAATATTCTGAGTTGGAAGGGACCCACAAGGATCATTGAGTTCAGCTCTTAAGTAAGTGACCCATACAGAGGTTGAACCCACAGCCTTGGTGTTACTAGCACCATGTTCTAACCAACTGAGCTAATCTCAGGGTCATATATGGCAGCTGTAATATTTTTAAAGTAAAAATCAGTTCTTCTTTTGAGGTGTCTCCACAAAAGGACATTCTTGTAAGTTTTTTTGAAAATTCTCTAATGCAGTCAATAAAATATTCACTAATAGGAAGTTGGATCTGCAACAGTTCAAGAAAGTAATAGATACGTAAGAAAATCCCCATTAAATCAACAACAAAAGAATACAAGAAGAATCTGTAATTTAGAAACAGATGTTCCATTACTCTCCTGAATTCTTAATGACATACAAGAAATGCACTAGTAACAGAGGTGCACGTCTATGAGCACACATGGATGTACATTTACTTGTGGATGTGTATAAACTTAAAAGATGTGAACTCAGCTTTATGGCCTTCCTTCCAAGACAGTTCCATTCTATGTAACTGTGACTTCAGCAATGATCTGAATCAAATCTAAAGGAAAATAACCATTGCTGCATCCAAAACAGGTGAACTAACATGCTATGAAGTGGTTTTCCAGACATTGTCTACAAAGTGAGTATTTACCTCTGACAGCGTAGCCATCTTTTACTGATGCTGGAAATGGTGGTAGATTATCTTTTGCATATACGTCTTGAGCAAGGACTCGGCCCATTCCATCTAGAAAAGAGAAAAGACCATGCTCCATGTCATTAGAGATAGTGAAAGGGGGAAAAAAGTTACCAGCCATGTGCTCTGATAGGTGAAATGTGTATGTATGGGACACAGATCTCTCAGGCTTTTGATTTTTGCCTCTACATAAAAGAAAAAAAACTGGAGTCTGAAAGTACTGATAAAGGATTTGTTCATTAAGTCTGTGTTCCTGGTTTTGGTTAAATTTGCTTACAGTAGATTTGAATACCAAGTATTCAAAACCAAAGGTTTGGATAAAAGCTTTGATACAGGATCAGACAGAAAAACAAGTATTTGCTTCTTTAAGACAAGTTTTTCTCCTGAGATCTCTTAAAATTACATATTTTCCTTTATTTGAATTTTTACAAAATTTCTTTTTTAAAAGCTTTTAAAATGACATTGCAGAAGTGAATCTTATATGCAAAAGGTGAGAGGTGATGGATTGAGGACTCGACAGTAACAGTGGACAAGTTTTCATAAATTGACAAAAAAGTTCTGCAATAGATTAGCTTTGCCTAATTCCTGAGAGCATTTCTGCTTAATGGAGGGTGAGTGAACATAAGTGTCAGGATTATTTATGTAAATTTACACTCTTATAGTTCTAAATATTTTAATAGCTGTTTGAAACTTTCCCTTCACTTAGTGACTGTGACTGATGAATTGTAATTTGGCTCAGCTTCCCTGTAGAGACTGATATGAATTACTGCACCCTCAGTCAAGTGGCTAGTACTTTTATGGCACCAGCAAGAGCCTTTTTTTAGTGTGATGTGGAACAGAATGGAAAATATATAACTTATCCCTTCACACAATGTGAGCATGAAAAAGCATATTCATTACACATGTGATTATTTGGATTGGAAAGGGGTACAGGGGTCAGAAATACTGAGATGGGCTTGATTCCGGTATGTCTAAGAAGAAGGGAAGCTCAGCTTATAATAGAGGCCACTGTTCCTAAGGTGCACGGGAAGGTAATATCCAGCTGCAAGTATGAATGACTGTATGAATATTTCTACCGGGAGAATTTGCATGCATATGTGCTTTAGAGGTTATGGTCTTTGAGACACGCCAAAAAAGAGACATGCATAAAGTATGTTTCTTATTTTACAGACAGAGGAATCAGTGTGGTTCTGGATTCACTGGGAAGGCAGAAGGCTTAACACTGCACACTAAATGGACAGGTTTTGTTAAAAAGTGCACCTACTCTATTTGAAAGTGTTCAGCTCCAGTGAAGTGGTATTATAATGAAGATTTTACTTATTAACACAAAGTGATTTAGCTAGCAATTAATTATCATAACTATAACATCACTGTGTTCAGATCCATATGTATTAACTTTCATCCTGAATTTATTATTCATGGTGCGTTTCTGAAATGAGTATTGCCATGAAAATGCTGCTAAAACCTGTTAAAGCAACTAGAAGAGCACCTTTGTGATGGACATTAGTTCACTTGTGCATTACTGCGTATCACTGCCAGTGATACACAATATACAACTTATTAAAAGCTCACAGAAGCTTGTACACTTACACCGAATAAAAGAATGCAGGAACAGACATTTAAATTAAAGCACAGAAAAGGCAGCTATCAAAGGCCTAGTAAAAACATCCTTTGTTCCAAGATGCACGAAATCTCATACAAAAGTGATGCTTCTAATTTTAGCAGGCATGTTGTGTCTTCCTTTTGCTTCTTGTCTGCATGCAAAATCACACCAATTAGAGCAAAGTTGAACAGTATGTTCTTGGCAGAATGCCAAGAAAGGAATAAATGGCCAGCCAGTAATGGGAATGAATTTCATTACAGGGAGAAAAATGTTAGAATTATTTGGTGAAGCAGCCTTAGGCATTTAAAATGAAGCAAGTCAGCAACTAAAGGACAATCTGAAGTACCTCTGTACTCTCTTTTACTTAAGCACTTATTCTAAAAATACAGTTTGACCTTATTTTGATTAATTGTAATTCAAAAAGATGTTCTGAATTATTTTAATGTCATCAAACTACCCTTGTGATGCCAATAGCTTTTTACACAAAATGGAGAATTACATTAAACTCACTTTTCAAATGTGGCTATTTGCTAAAGCTTAGGTGATGGAACTGGTACAGTTCTGTGAAGAACTTTTTTTTCTCAGGGTATTGATACTGGGGCACAGCAGTAAGACAGATCTTGTACTAAAGGTGATGGACTTTGTAAATACTGTCCTGGTAGCACTTCACTGTGATCTTAAAAGTCAGTGCTATCAAAAAAATCAGCTAGACTCTTAGACTTGACCTGCTCTATTCTCAGGCTTAAGCCTATGCTTAAGCTCAAAAAGTGTAGATTGCTTCTGCATTGCACTTTTATTAGCAATTAAACTTTGGCATCTTCTTAGTTTCATCATAATCATGTTGTCTAAAAGCTTATATGTATACAGAGCTATGCTCGGGTAACTGAATTTAGTTGGAATAACAGGCTAACTGGGGGCTTCATACCAGATAGCAATGATGGCAGGTGGGAAATACGCTTTGGATGCCTTTGGTTTATGGCAGTTCTGTAAAATGTTTTAGGACTGTCCATTTTTTATTTTAATATGAAAGAGGTTAAACGATCTATTGAGTCACTGAGCAACACATTTACCAGTGTGAAAGTCATGTTTAAAAGATAACTTTACTTATCCTCCCCCTCATGTTAGGAGAGAATAGACAGATTTGAAAGATTGCAGTATACTTTGACTTAAGAGTAAAATCAGGACTGTACTCGCTATTTGTACAGAATAACATCTGGCAGCTTTATTTATAAGGCTGAATGCTATGCAATATGTTTAGCAATGTAACTGAATCAGGTTAAATTAATTGGGCAATTTGCAATCCTAGAACTTTACACATTTCACTTTCCTTACATAGAAATTGTGCTCCTGAAAGATAGTTTTGAGGAGCTCAGTGTTAATTCAAGACACAAAACCACAAAGAAAACAAACATAGAACAACAGTGCTTTTCTGAGTACAGTTTCAGACCTCTGGGACTACATTTTTATTATTTTCCAAAAATAGAGGTATATGAACTGAAAAATAAATGAATCCATAACTAAATGAAAAGCTCAATCTTAATTCACTACATTTTTCAAAATTAACACCTTTTATCAAACATGCATGTGTGTGCACACATGCACACACACAAATATATATATATATGCCTATACAAAACAATCCTATGTACTTGTCTGTATAACATTATGGTGATCACTTAAGAAATTCTGAAAATGAGTTTTCATCTTGAGATTTTTATCTGTAGATTAAGAGAATTGAATTTACAGTATCACAGACACAGATGTGTCCTTTAGGATGTTTCCTATAGGCTAAATCCTGAAATTTCATATGATACACTTGAAAATCTTACAGTTCTAAAATAAGCGTATACTTCTTGAAAAATAAATTGTGAGATACAATTTTGCACTACACTGCAAATATATGAAGGAATATGTCTTTGTTAATATCTTCATTATTGATACACTTATGCGAACATTAAATCAAGACTCTATTTCTGAAGCTAATAGGTGTAATAATACACACAGGCTGCTAAATCAGTATGTCAATACAAAGACATCTTGAAAGTTTATGGCAGCACAGAGATTTGGTGAAGACTATGAAAACTTTGAACTTTCAAGCCAGAAGACAGAACATTCTATTCAGAAATCACCTGGACTTCTCTGCTATCTGTAGTCCATCAATGTCCTAAAGCTTTTGCTTCTTGAGGCTCATAGTTTCACTATCTTTTTGCTCACCACCTTACCTTTGAACAATCTGGAAGAATCCCTAGAGGAGGTTTCCTCCCCTACCTACTTTAGGTTTATTTCTCAGCATGCCTCCTGTCATGGTTTTGCACCAAGAACATTCTCCCATATAATGGCTAAGCTTGCTGTAAGGGATAGCAGAAGCAAGGGAGGCACCTAATAGGCTTTATGAACACGCTATTTTATGAGGGAGGATCGTTTAGCTAATAAACACGAGAGGTGCCCTGCTAATTCCTTATAAGGCCAGAAAATGGCTTCACCTATCCCTACTTATTTATGAGTATAGACACGGTCACAAAGTCTGATATTTTGCCTGCTGTTTGGTGTCTTTGTATAAAGACTGTATAAATCAAAACCAGTTACCCTTTAATTACAAAGTTTTGATAAATCAAACAACAAAAGAAAGTAAGAAAATGATCATATGTAGTGGTAGAATAGAAAAGGAATTGTTGTGTTTATGAGAAGGGGAAAATTCTAGAATGTACAGTAGGCTAAGTAGATACTGGAAAAACAGACTGAGACAAACTGTTAAAGATAAAACATGGAAAAAAGTGACCTGGAATCAATAATCACTTTCCTTTGATCATTAATCTCAGATTGGAAAGGATGTTAGTGAGAATCTCCCATAGCAAAAGAACAAAGTGAGCCAATCACCATACAAATTGGAGCTACTTGGCATGTACAAAAGTGCACTGTTAACCACTGAGGCAAATTATGGTTGAGTATAGTATGTTTGCTGCATATAACACAAACCAGAAGAAAATTCATTTACACATTTTATTGGAGTCCCATTACAGACTTCTTCAGGGAGCAGCACTGAGTTCAGCTGACATTCTCCTTACTTTGAAAGGAGATTTCCCGTATTATTGGTATTTTCTAAAGCAGTTTCTCCTGGAGAAAGTACTGTTTCAGATACCTCACAATATTAGTAAAAGAGAAAGTAAGTTGTCAAATATGGAAATAACCACCCTAATCCTCACAAAATATCCAACTTAAAATACCTCTGTAATTGATGATTTCTGTTCCAAGCACTGGGGTCATCTCCAGAACTGTGATGAAGGCCTTGTCCATAGATGTCAATGGGAATGGAGACATGCGGTGTCTTCTTGCTACCTTGGTAATGTCAACAGCACTGTGACCTGCAATGAGAAAGAACCAAGTTTATGTATGCTACAATGTGCAGATTCATGTAGTGATGTTAGTTTCTTCACTGAAACTAATCTGGCAGTTTGGAGTAAATTAAATTAGTTAATTATCATCATTGAGCATTCATGTCAGACACTGGGAAAGCACTGTATTCAATTAGAATCAAGAGGGATTTAAAACAAACTGCAATTTACAGTTGAAAAAGTTCACAGAAGTGTATATCCTTATTTATAAGGAAAAACATACCAGAAGTATTGATGTGCATGAAAGGATCTGTTAATCCAAACCAGAAACCCTTCAAGATGATTCAGTATTTTACACCGAGGATGATAATCTGAGGCTAATTCAGTTCCATGAACTATGAACTCAGGACGATTCACTCTATTCTGTTCTCCACAAATACATCTCAATACGCTCTGTGCCGTGCACAGATAAAACATAAAAATGGACATTGTGCCAGTCTACAATCCAAGAGTGAGATGGGAGTCGAAAGGTTTGAAAGGAGGACAGAGAGAGCACAGTGAAATCACTGGGCAGTCAGGACAGCAGACAGTGTTTCCAGCTAGCGGGCATCCTACCCATTGTCAAGATTTTGTAGTCACCATAGCAAAGTGCTGTTCAAATGTATAATTTGAGTGAAGGCGGCCGGACAGCTTAATGGAAGCTTACTTTTCCCAATTATGAGGGACAGGCAGGGAGAAAATAGCACAGAAGTTGTTTGAAAATGAAGCCAGCAGCATGTTTGATTTCATGATACTTACTGAGAGAGTAAACAAGGAGACAAGCTTTGAAGGATTTTGGAAGTGAAGATAAGCAACAGAAAAGAGAACTACAGCACGACTACATAAACTAGAGTAACAGATACAAACCAAAAGATTAAGACAATTACAGTTGCAGAATATCTTGAAAATATTTACCTAGAACAAGAAAGTATTTATGAGAGCCAAAGGGGATGATGTTCAATATGTGATATATAATGATATTCCTAAAGCAACATAAATTATAAGAAAGCATTAACAATTAATAGGAACTAATTGTTAATGACATGATTTTGCTTTGCAGTAGCTACCTAAATATCCCATTTGCTGCTGCACATGCCTTCAAATTCCAGAAAAAAATAGATTATTGCTTTAAGTGTAGTCTTCTAATAAAAAATAACTAAAAAATAGTAAAACAATCACACAATATAAGTTCTTCCTTCAGAAGAGAAGGTTTCCTAATTAATCTGTACATCTGATACTTCCTTCAGTACTAACACGTGCTTGCCTTTTTATGTGGGAAATTGTTCATTGATTATTTTTTGCTGCTAACACAGTAACTATCTTTCAGAGGAAGAAGTAGAGACAAGTAAAACCGCCCACCTAATTTTCCTAAGAAAGATTCTGGAAGAAACTATTTGAACAATCTCTTTGTATGTATTTAGAATATAACACAATGACAAAACCAGGCACTGTGAATTTGTCAATTACAAATAATTTTTAATTGACTAAATGCCTTTCCTTAAGATTGCAGTTGGCATTCTGTGGAAGACAGAAACAGCCAATGAGGTATATTCTAACTATATGAAGATTTTGCACACTCTTACACCTCACTTTCTCATTAGCAAACTAGGGAGAAGTGATCCAAATTTAACTATTGTAAGATAAAAGTGTAACTAATGGCAAAAACTGCACTCCTGGTTCTAACAACAGGAATCTCTCTAGCAAGCTTGCATTTCCAATTATTATGCCTGTATTTTGTTAACAACCTCATTAAAAAGGAAAAGGATATAGTCAAACTTCCCATACCCTTCCTCTGTATATAAAAAGAAACCCTGCTTAGCAGCATTGTAAATCCTGCAGGTCCAGCAGATTCCACACATTTTCCTGACGTTTTCTTATAAGCTGGGAAAAATGAAGAAAGATGCTAGGAAAAAATAAGTCACAGGAATGAAAGCTGAGGGAATTGTGTGGCAGTGAACAACCTTGATGCTGCAGCCATTAGATGTTTTTGTGTTTTAGTGCAACCTAAAATTCACTGTAAGCTATTTCAAAGACTAATATTTTACTTTAACCCTTAAAAAGTGAATGAATTCAGAGGCTTTGAAAGCTTTGAATGGTGCCCAGAGCACTACCTTCAGATTCACAAGTCTGTCCCTAATACATTTGCTTAAGCCAAAGGTTCTGTTAAAATCTGAGAAATCTCAGAGAAATCTCTGACAAACCTGCTTTCCTCAACATAGATAAACTTTCCTAATCTCTGACAGCTTTGTTCCAACACCAAAAGTAAAACCCATTATTACTTCAAGAGAGGCCAAGAAAATAAATCATCTCTAGGTTTAACACTAGCATGAATAACCTTAATGAAGAAAGGAAGAAAGATGCAGGTGTAACTACTAACCCTTCTCTCATCCTATTTCTTCCTACAAACAAATATTAACTCTTCTATTAGAGGTATCACCCATTTAAACAGACCCAAGAGACAAACAATGATTTTTTAAGTTCTAAAATTACTAAATGGTACTTTTTAATTACAAGTAAGTGACATTAAACAACCCCTCACACTTTCCCAAGTTATCTTTCACTAATGTGAAAATAAATGTCAGATGGCTCTAAAAATAACTACTTACATTAAGCTGCACGCTGTATGGCAAAATAATCCTCTAGCTTAGAAGCAACTAAGTCAATTGGTTGCATAAGGTAGAAAATTCCTGACAGCCTTCTCTTTTATCACCAAAACAACTTCCTATTCCTGTCATTACACATATATGTATACACACCCACACACACACATATATGGTGGATCAAATTTTGCACTAGAAAAATTTCCATAAAACAAAGAAAAAGAATTGTGCAAATGAAAGAACACATCATTTGGACAAATCTGACTTCTTAATATTTGCATTTTTTGGTTTGGTTTTATGTAATCCAACATTCAAATTAACGTTCATGAAAATAAAAATCATGTATAGTCAATTTGAGAATTTCCATTTTCATTGTCTTTGAGTATTAATTCTTGTCGATAAAACCTGGACACATATGATCATTTACAACAACACATTACCACAAACAACACAGACCTCCATGTCATTAGAAAAACAACTTGGAAGAATAAATTAAAGGATGACTCTCCATTAACACATGAACAATAGGAGCTATTTACACTTTTGTCTTCGGACTGAATTTCGCTGCCTTAAGTTATTAAATTTCATCTGCAAACCCACTTATGTCCCAACCATATAGCTCTGATCTGACTATCATTTGCTGTCTCCTGAGCAGTCTCAGTTTCTCACTAGTGCTACGAAGTTTCAGTACTTACTTGCTCTGAGGATGTTCTCCTTGCTGCTGCACCTAGACTGGACCTGCAGAGAGAGCACAGACTCTATGAGCTACAGAAGTTAACAAGAATGCAAAATACAGAGATAAAATGGGCAAGCTCCTGGGATCTAAGACAGAGGCTGTACATATTTTCAGCAACATTCTTACATATTTTGCATGAGATAGGAATATTTATGCACAAGAGTAGTAGCTGATGGTCAGGATCTGATACAAGCGATTTGATTCCACACCCCTCCCATAAGAAACAACATGACAATAATAGGGAAAAAAATCAAAGAACAGAGTGTTTAAAGTCACATATTAAGCTTCAGTTTTCAACAAAAAAATCCACATTTTCTTATGCAGTTGTAACTACAGTAGCTCTGAATCTAAGTCCTATGATTAGACAGAACACTAACATAACTAGCATATATTATCATGACTTGATTTAAAATTCTATTGTTGATATATTCAGGTATTATAGAATGAGTTTAAAGTATTCAATATTCAATTTCAATTGTGTTGGTTCTGAAAATGTTTAAAAAGAATTCTTCACAATTGGATAAGCAATTCACAATTGTATAAACAGCTCCTGGCTTGAGCCAGATAAATTTACTCAGCTGTTCCTGTTTGGTTAAAAAAAATGGTATGTTCAGTATAAATTTTACAGTGCAATTCTACTTTAAAAAGCAACTGTGTGAGAATGGCAAATGGTTTCTCAATAAATTCCTTGATGCTTAGCTGCCACCGTGCTATTCCAGGTAGTCTGATTTCAGGGAAATTCGACAATTCATACCGGTCTAATATTCTAGTAAAACTGGACATTTAAAGTTCCATCTGTTTACCATGAAGATTTAAAAAACAATTGTTTTTTTTAAGAGTATCAGCACTGCAAACACAACACAGTTTAAATGTTATCTATACTGAGGCATCAGCTCTTGTTAATTCTTCTCAGGTTTGGAAAGATAGCACAAAGTGTAATAATGCTGAAGCTGCAAGTTTTTGGATGAACTACTGGCATGCCAGCTGACTGAACTGGCAGCACTTGAATAATAAACATTTTGTGTGGACAAAACCCCAACTAAAGTAAACCACAAGAAAACAAACAGAGTAAGAATGGAATCCTTCTCTTTTTTACTATACTGACAAAGATATTTTAAATTTCAGTGAGAGTATTAATGAAGTAAAAGTGTGTACATGTGGTGAAAGAAGTAGAATAGCACAGGTGATGCTGAGGGTGTAATTTCCCAGAACATTTGTCTCTGCTGAAAGCACAAAGAAGTGAAAGAAGTGAATCCAGATTATCTTTCAGACCTCACTTGGAATTTGCAGTTACAGAAAAATTGCCTAGAAGGTGAATATGTATGATCTAACAACTGATGAAGAATGGTACACGCTTGACCCCCCAAAAACTGTCTTCAGAAAGGAATAACCATTAAAGGTTGAAACCAACTGTGCCCCAGCCTCTAAACCTCTTTCTTCTGTTCCACAGCAGCTTGCCCCAAATGTATATTCACATAAAAAAATTGGATTCTACAGCGCAACACAGTCTACTTATTGTAATGGAAAAACTTATGGAAAGTAATGTTGCAACTTAGAGTGGGTTATGGTGTCCTTCCCTGAAAAAAACTCTTGTTTTACAAAAACAAACAGAAAAAACCCAAGCCCTCCCCCCTTCCCACCAAAAATACTATACAGTTAAACTGCAAACAAAATATTAATGATGCCCAAATTTGGCCCAGAGTTGTTTGACTAGATTTCAAAGGCATAATATCAACTCTCTCAGAAAGAAGTAAATATTTACCTATAATTTACCAAAGGACAATTCTGGACCAAAAAGATGGTATAATGGTAGGAAAGAAAGCATAAAAAAAAAAGAGAAGCACAGATTAAGAGAGAGAGGGAGAGAGAGAAATAGAGAAGCAGGATGGATGTGGCAAGGCAGAAGATGGTGTGTGCAAAAGGAGACATGGGTCTATGTGTGTAAGACTACTGTTTAAAATGGAAGAGGCTCTCTTATTTCTCACTGAAAAACATATGAAAAGAGAAAATGAGGAAGGGGCCTGCTGCAAAATAACCAAGCGATTCAGCAAACTGTGGAATGAAACTCAGTGAGATAACACAGTCCTAAAGAAAAAGGCAAAAAACCAAAAAATACAAAACACAAACATTTGAAACAATCTACTAAAACAAACTGAGTAAAATATGTGATCCAAAGGACACAGATAAAAGCTACTAGAGAGGAGGAAAAATGTTAGCAGACAAAGACAGTGCTAAAGAAGTAAAATGGAAGTCAAGAGAGAGTCTTCAACAAAGTGGAGGAACAGAAGGAGCCCAAACCCATAGCGCAAAGCAATGTTTGCGAATGGAAAACAGCTCCTTTGAGCAGTAATAGTTACTCTCGAGTTGTAGCCTCTATTCCTCCTCAGTTCATCTTTAAGCCCTTCCAACCTATAGTGGAGCTAGTGTATGGACAAAAACAAGAGATTTATAATGAACAGAGCAGCTGAGATTTGCAGATCAAATCTTCCAATATAAAAAACGTGTCGACAAAGTTTTGCTCTTACAATGTCCAAGTGACAATGGCAACAAAAGACAGCTGGCTTCACATACAGCCTCTTATAGGTCATTTTTTTAATTCTGTGCACACAGAGGACTTTATATTTACTTTTTGATTTCTTACACCCAGCCTACAGTTTCCACATTATCACTCACCTGATGGGCAACATATGCAGTATGAGAAATAATTTGCTTCCCACAAATTTTAAAAGCAGCTGTGGAAGAGGAATCCATGATAATAAAATAAAAGGCTTGATCAGCTAGACTTGATCGTTTCCCAACCTATACTCACAGCTGCAGAATACAAACCATGTTTTAACATAACTGACATCAAAATTAGTCATTACATAATACTTCTGTTTAATATGAGTTGCACATTCTTATCCTAAACGTTATTTTTAATCAAAACTCCAGTAAAATGATTTTGAATAAAACCCACCAGTTTCCTAACACATACAGTTTTAGCAGCAATGGAGCTTTGTATAAACGGGGTTGTGTGCTTTAAGTGCCTTTTATCATATTTATTATTTGTATGTTTTACTACTTTGCTATTTGTGACAGTTACAAAAAATCTGTATTCTTTTCACAGCTACTGTTAAGTGAAGAATCCATATTACATTACATATAGTATCAAGACTAACTGAGGAGAGTTATTATTAGTAGTATTTACTATAATTCTTCTCATTCACAGGCAGTTACAGAAATAACCACCTATGGCTGTCTTTCCTTTCACAGGGAAAGTATAGATTTATTGTTTGTCCACTCTACAGCCAAGTCTTTGTTCACAATCTATCTTGGCAAAAGATACACTGGGCTACCAGCCAGTACCATTTTCCTGCATAGTTCAGACAGAACGTAATCAAACCCAAAGCATTCAGTTCACATTACTCTGTTTTTTAAGCAAACTGGATTTTTATGTTCTTGAAGATAAAACTTCATCATGTGGAATGCAGAGTAAGCTTTCTCCCATAGGCTGAAGTAATAAACAGAATGTGAAACAAAGTACTCAAAAATAAATTAAGGGAATGGTAAAACAAAGAGTTCTGCTGACAGCTTCTATCTATCTGTCATGATTGATCTGAAAAACGAAGTCAATGACTAGACTAAATTGGATTCATTTAAATTTACATGATATGTTTTGCTGCAAATAAAAATCTGTCCACAAAAAAATTTTTTACAGGTAAAATAGAAAAAGACACAAAGAAAATTTCATGCTACAAGTGAAAAATTATTGTGAAAAATAATGAAAAAAGAGAACTGAGAAACCCTTTAACACTTTACCGTGACTGTTAGGAATTGTTAGAGAAATTACTTACCTTTTTAAAGTCATAACAAGATTAGCACAGAGTATTAAGTCAGCTCTTCATTATGGGAGGTACAATTAAAAGCCATTGGTTATAATAAAACAAATTGCTACACAAAGATGAAGATTTTCCAGCCCAATATGAAAAGCTAACTCTTACGGGAGTACATTTCAACTCAGTATTACAACATGAAGAACATTTCAGAACAATGACATCAAAACATGATTTATCACCAACAGAAAGAGCCTGTTTTTCAAAAACACACAGCCTGTAGGAGGCTGACCCATAACCTTTAGCATTTATGGGAAAGCACATTGCTCCACTTTGAGGAAAGCATGCAGAATGTGGAACCACCAGCAGAAACCCAAATGTACACAGAGGACTAAGGTACAGCAAAGGGAATGAGTTCGCCAAGCTGTAATGAAGGAAGCAGGGAATGCAAAGCACAGCAGCCGTTAACAATTTAGGAACTGTATTCCTTTCAGTGTCTCATGAACACCAGGCAGGCCTGTTTATGAGGTACTGCACCTACTACACTTACTGCTGGTGAGAATGTGCATAACTCATATAACCTTTCCCTGAAACTTCAGTAGCTTTATGAAGACTACTTATTATCTGTGATGTGGGAAAGTATGCTGCTGCTGGTTTTTTTCCTGCATGTGTTTTATTACTAATTACATAATCTGAGTTCTGTACAATATACAGTGGCACATGCCATTTGAATGGTCTCTGAAATATTTGCCTGCCTTAAATACATATCAAATCACATGTGGTCTGATTTACAGCTGTAGGGTTTGCACAGTGTCTTTCGCCTAAAATACCTTTTATCCTCTAAGGGTTAGACACATTATTCAGTGCCTCTAAATAAACACATAAGAGAAAACTAAACCATGAACCGATAGTTCAAACTGGTTATAAAACAATACTTAAAAAATTGATTTTGACCTGTTATTCTAAACAATATCCTAAGGTTAAACTAGGAGGGAAAAAAAAAAAGAAAGCAGTGAAATACATTGGTTGGTTTAATAAAAAGAATGTTTTAAATCTAATCTGAAGAACAGAGAGAATTGCTTTAATTGAATTAATAGGGAATCTATTAATGAAGTTATTAAAAAACATTCACAGGAATGGCTTGGGTTGGAAGGGACCTTAAAAATGATCCCGTTCCCGAAAAAGAAAAAAAAAAGTATCTGGACTTGCGTACTTCAGAAAATGCTCAATAAGGTATTTGAGGATTAAATAATCCTATTACAACATGCATCTTCCTATTTCAGAAATGCATTCTTATTCAAACAGTACTTTTACACTGAGCTGAACACATGAGGTCTTAAGAGAATACTTTATGGCCATCTGAATTAGGACTAAAGTCAGTTCAAAACAACCGAATAAATTTTTCTTGTCATACTGAGACCACCTCTGAAAGGGAAAGAAAGGTGAGCACAAGGAATTTGATAACTCCAGACATTACTCATTAACACAATTTTTGAAACAAGCAGCATTGATGGTGGGATTCACCTCACCAAAATTTAAGTATGACTAATGCAGTATTCCACACAGAAAATCACTCATTTGCAGTCAGTGGGAAGAAAAAAGCAAAAAATCATTTGAAGCCAAAATAATTTTAGGAGCAGATTTTTACCACTTATTAAGTGTTAAGCTTATTAGGTGTTACTGGACACTGAACAAAAGTAATTTTCAAATTTTGAATATGTCGTTATGTCTTCAGCCGTATATTACTGAGTTCTCTTTTCTGAGTTTTTCTCTAGTCACCCACACTTTACATACAGATTTTTTAAATTTGGTAATTGTTTCCCAGTAGACTATGAACACATATATGGAATTTTATGGTCAGATTATGATTAATCCTAACTACTGTTCAAACAGGATGATGGAAGTGATTGATGAATACACTGAAGAAACATCAGGCCTGAATTGGTTCCTTTTACAGGAGCAGTATAAAAGAAAGACATTATTCAGTATTTGGAACCATATGGAATGAAAAGGCAAAGGGCAGTTTTCTGGGATTAGTCATCTCTCAGTGGAAACTGACCTTGTCCTGGAGAGGTAAAATCAAAACATTTATTACTAGAAGAGAATCCAAATAAAATCTTACACATCAAGTAAAATCGCAAGCTGAACACCTCACTGAATGAGAAAACAGGAAGATCTATGATACACATAGGAAAAAAAGGGACAAAATAGCAAACCTCTGGTCAGTAAGCTAATGGGAAAGCAAACTGGTTCCTACAAACTGGTAGTATAGGCTTGATAGTGGAGAATAAAAAGAGGTAAAGAGGGATTTCAGAGTAATTTTAATTAAATGTTTACATTTATAAAATGAGAAAAAAATGAACTGAATTTTGTGTTTTCAGAGCATGGGACAGCATACAGATCTGTGCCATGTGAATAACACTGGAAAGATGGCACATTTCTGTGATATTTTAGGGGCTGTTCAGAGCTTATTTGATATCATAGTGCTTTTGTTCAGAGAAGCTGCATTAATTAAAATACCCAAATATGAAGAGGTCATGCATCTTCTATAAGCTAAAGCCCATATTAAATCAAGCCATAAGTTTGACTTAATTTTTGCCAAATTTGTGCACAAACTCCAACTGGTGCTATGAAAATTCGAGTGGGATTTGTAAGACACAAGAAATTTCTAGGAACACTGCACTCCTAAAAAATCAGAAGTTCTCCTACTTGTATGAACAAGATCTTTCATTTGTTTGAATGAAAATCTTCAACATTCCCCAAGTGCCCCAAAAATATTCTCCAGTTTGAAAAGTAGATAGTGTAAATAAAGGCAAAGACAATAAGTTGTATTTCCTAAGAGATACAAGGGAAAGAAATTTCCGTTGTCCTTGTTGTTTGTCAAAAGAAAGGGTTTGACTGACAAACCATCTAGCCTTTCAAGTATGCATTAGATGCCTGACTTATACTCTATCAGACCAGCATTAAGACTTTTTAAACTTTTTTAGAAGACTTTTTAGTTCATTCCATATTAACCAGCCTTTTAAGCTACTGTCAGTCAGATGTCAATAAGATACATAAGAGATATATAGAAATTCTTGTCTTCATGGACACCATAAATTACTCTCTAACCCTTCACATACACTAACAAGGTTGACATTTTAAAAGGTTCATTTGTATTACAAGTCTTGCTTTTCAATGAAATTTCAACTAGTTTCACATTTCTACTTCTTGACCCAGCAACAGCTGATTTCAATGAAGCATTAAAACAATGAAATATCCATATTACTGCAAAAAAATGGAAACTTGAATTGCATGACCCTCAAAATAAAATTTTAAAACAAATTCTTCATTCAAATACAGCCAAGGAAAATTGGCAAGATTAAGTGAAACAGCTTTTAGGACAGATCAATGTCATGTGTGCAACTCTTATTTTTACTTTAACAGGTAGGCATTGTGATTTCATCAGAATTATTTTCAGCAGGGCTTCTCATAAGACAAGATAAGGCTATTTCATTTTAATCTCCCTGCTCAAAGACTAATTTCATGTTTTACTTACTAAACATTATCCAAATCATCTTGTCTATGGGGAATAATTTAGTTCTTTACAGATTCCTCTGCTGTGCTTG